AGCTCTCGTTGCCACCAAGAAGACATGGCCGAAGCAAACTGTAGATTCCAACCAAGGGAACTGAGAGCTCCTTCTTTCTGTTGAGAAATCTGGTTGTCGTTTGTGCTTGTTGCCTAGAACCGTGCTGCCCAGTAAGACAGGCACTGGCCACGTGCAGCTGGGTAAGTTCAGATTAAAACCAACTAAAGTGAAAAACCCAGTTCCTGCAACCCCACCAGGCACATCTCAAGTGCTGGGCAGCCACACGTGGTCAAGGGCAGCACAGACACAGACCACCTTCATCAGGCAAAGCTCCCTAGGTGACCACTTGTCTAGAAGGATTATGTGAGGTTACGCAAAAGCAAAGGTCTCAGGAGAGTCTGGCCCCTTTTTTACCTCACACTCTCACTTCAAACTGCTCAGGATGAGAAGGGACTAAAATCTTCTGTTTTGGTTGTTTGGCTTAAAAGAGAGAAGAAAAAAAAATTTTTTTTTTTTTTTAAGTTTGGAGAAGAGGCATGTGGAAAAGAGGAAATAGGTAAACTGGAAAAGGAGTCTGAGGGGGAGATTACAAAAAGAAGAGAAGCTGGAACATGCATCTTAGTGGAAGAGAAGGGGGGAAAGGAGAAGACGATGAGAGCCAGTCCCTGGCCAGGCTGGCAAAGGAAATTTGTTGAGTGCCATCTCTGATGTTTAATCTTGAAGTGAGTCCTGTTGTGTGCTCCAATCCTCCTCTGCTACCAGCAAATCTTACATGAAAGTCTATTTGATACAATGCTCTTGCTCTGGGGAGTTGATGATATATACAAAGTCCTGGGGACAGAAAGGTAAGAAGGCACGAAGGATGCGGGACATCACCAAGAAAGTGTCCGCAGGTAGGAATCTAGGGAACACCAGGGAGGGCCCAGTGTAGCCAGGGCATAAGGTCTTCGGTCTTTTAATGTTATTAAAGGAAAATCAGGAGACTGTTTAAGCTGGAGACATTTGGGTTGCAAGTGTTTTAAAAGGTATTGTTGGGCTGCCTGGGTGGCTCAGTGGGTTAAGCCTCTGCCTTCAGCTCAGGTCATGATCTCAGGGTCCTGGGATCGAGTCCCACATCGGGCTCTCTGCTAGGCAGGGAGCCTGCTTCCTCCTCTCTCTCTCTCTCTCTCTCTCTCTCTCTCTCCACTTGTGATCTCTCTCTGTCAAATAAATAAAATATTTTTAAAAAAAAAAGGTATTGTTATTTTTCACCTCTGCAATAGAAAAATCTCTGCTTTAAAGACTGAAAAACAAGCATCTCTTAAGGAAACAAAATACATTTTGCATTTCAGTAACTTTTAGGTCACGTAGGTTTGGATAAAAAGCAGATTTACAAGTGGCATGGGAATAAAACCCGGGGCTACAATGCAGTCTGCTACAATGCAGACTTACACAGTCTCTAAGAATGTGGCCAACCTCAAAAGCAATACTGAAATAATAAAATAATGTTTAAATGCAATTGCACTGATTACATTTATTGGCAAAATAACATATACTTTCTCAAAACAGTGACGAGTCGGGGCGCCTGGGTGGCTCAGTCATTTAAGCGTCTGCCTTCAGTTCAGGTCATGATTTCAGGGTCTGCGGATCGAGCCCCGTGTCAGGCTCCCTGCTCAGTGGGGAGTCTGCTTCTCCCTCTCCTACCCACCCTCCAGCCTCATGCATTCGCTCTCTCTCTCTCTCTCAATAAATAAAATCATAAAAAAATAGTGACTAGTCAACACTTATTTTCTGATCTAGAGTGCGCTCACCCACAGCCTGACCCCCTTCCTTGCCTTCTTTAAACACATGCGCTGAACACAACTGAGTATCTGGCTGATCTGCCAGGCCCTCATGATAACGTTAGTTGTTACATGGTGCTGAAGGCATTTATGCCCCTTTGTAAATGGTCCCTTTGCTATGATGCTTTTGGGATACTCGGGCTGTGTCTTCTCTAACTTCTGCTCCTCTCGCTTGCTGTCCGCTGTCATTTCCCACTGCTGTTCACACACACCGGAGAAACAAACCTTCTACACTTGCATTTTGTCGCCTTTAATATTTTAGCAGCTGTGGCTCCAAAGAACTGCATCTTACAGGACTGGGAAACGCTAATAAAAAGTGGCCACGGTCCAGTTTCTAATATCGTGACTTTCTTGTTTGATACGTTGTTATGAAGAGAGGCATCTACTTTATTAAGTGAAAACTTGTTTTGCTTATATCCTGATAAGATATCACTTAAAGCTGAAAGCTGAGCTGGGTTGTATTTAATCCTTGTTCAAGACTGTGACCTCTGCCTCATTTTCTGAGGAACCTGGGTGAAAAGCAATGGCCCTTAGGAGCCCACGTAAATCAGTGTTTTCTAAATATGAGTGACTCGTGATGATTAATGGCTAAAGAAAATCATCCTGAGAAATAAAAATAATAACCTCCAGCTCATCAAATCACAGTTCACTTGATAAAGCATAAAAATAGCACCTTTTTCCTCTAATGTGTTTCTGCTTACATAACAGTAGCCAAGATACTCAGCCAGTGATAATATTTAATCTCTTCAAAATGACCTTCTCTGATTTATTAGACGACATGCAGTATTTTTAAGTAATCCTATAGATTTCCAGGGCTTGGGATGCCGCCTGAGGAAACTGCCTAACTTTAGGATAATACTCTAGTAGTTCCTGGGAGTGATGTCCCACCAGCTCATAACCCAGGGTCAATGGTCATTACCTTGGTGACTCTAGTGTTCAACCTGGACCTGGCTTACCTGGGAAAATTGCTTGTAAGGCCTTCTTTACCACACTGGGTAAAGTGGATTAAAAACAGCCAACTGCAATAACTTACTTTGTACTAAGCTTGAACTATATCAAATTGTTGATATTGGTCATTTATTATTTAAAAGATGAAACCTGTTATACAGTTTACCTTAATGTTTTGAGTCTATTGAGGTTCAGATCCCCATACAGAGCTCGACGATTATCATGTACTCTCACCATTTCACTTAACAACAGGAATAAACAATAATAGAACCAGACCGAGTTGGAAACATTTTTATCTAAAATTCTCTGTAATGCTACATCAACAGTGAGTTTGGCAGTTGCAGGCCTCCTGCTCGTCCCCAGAGAAAGATAAGTAAAAGATGGTCTTTGACCTCAAGAAACTCAGAACACAGTAGGAGACATAAAAACAGCAAATAAAATGTGAATATGGTGTACAATGTGCAAAGGTAGGTTGGTGGTGGCACAAAGGAATTATCAATAAGATTTTATTTATTTATTTGACAGACAGAGACTGCAAGTAGGCAGAGAGGCAGGCGGGGTGGGGGGGAAGCAGGCTCCCTGCTGAGCAGAGAGCCCGATGTGGGTCTCCATCCCAGGACCCTGGGATCATGACCTGAGCCAAAGGCAGAGGCTTTAACCCACTGAGCCACCCAGGTGCCCCAAGGAGTTAACAATTCTTATTGAATGGGTCAAGGAAGAGATCAATGATGTAGAGATTTCTCATCTGGGTTTTGAAGGATGATTAGGAGTTCACCAGTCACACTAGGAGGAATAAGCCGTTTTAGAAAAAGAGAGCAGCATGCACAAAGCATGTAAAATAACAGTATCTTGGGGGAATTGTTAGGGGATTTTTATGGTGAAAGCAGAATGTGTGTGTGTGTGTAGCAAACTGGTGGGAAATGAGGCTGTGGTATTAGGCAGGAACCAAATCAAGGAAGGCCTTATATTTCATCTTATCCTACAATAGAGAATTTTGGAAGCCTCTGAAATAGAGAAAAAGCAAGTTCTGATTTAGATTTTCAAAAGATCAGAATCACAATTCTGGAAGAGAGAAAAAAAGAACAAACAAACAAACAAACAAACAAAAGACTAAGAAAAAACTGCCAAACAATTAATAGTGGTTATCTCCAGGGGGTGAAATATTTTCTGTCTTCGCATAGCAAAATGCAGCTAACTGTTCCTTCGCAGAAGGAGTCAAGTTTGCCCTATAAACAGCTGTCACTTCAATATTTTAATTTACTACAAGGAACAGTGACCACACTGGGGCCCATCCTTAGCCTTTCTCAATTTTGTTTACTGACAAAGCAACAATGGCATAAATCTAGAGGGTATTAGGATACACATTTTGGAAAAACCAAGTCGACAAGTACTGCGTCACGTCAGCCCACAGACCTCATGAAAAGGCCTGACAATCCGAACCTCTGAGGGGGCCACCACAATCAGCCACCACACACATTCCAGAGCTTTCCAGGGGAACCAATTATGACTTGAGATGAAGTCTTAAACAATTTTACATTTCACTTTGCCTCAGAGGTGACAGTCTCCTCATCCCTCCTTCCCCAATTCACCTCAAATTCAAGTACAGTCCAAGAAAAACAATGCATTTACAAATGCTAATGAGGCTTCAACTCACAGACCTAAACTTCCCTAATAGATTGGTGGCCCCAAACTCCTGCTCTATAGAAAGCCTGGAGTCCATGTTGTCTTGCAAAGGGCACAAACGATAAATGGTAGAAACCCAGGCATGCAAAGCTTTGATCCAGCTGTTCGGTACGAATGAAACCAGCAAAGCAAATGACTGGCACAAAGTCCAATCACTATTCCATTTACAACAAATATGAAGTTTTATGTAGCAAGCCTGCCAAAAACACTTTGTTAGGCAAAAACTGTTACTACATGAAACCCATCTGTAAAAACAGGGTAATAATAGCAACAACCTTATAAGGTTGTTGTGAAGAATTAAACAAATAATACACACAAGTGCTTAGAAGACTGTCTGGCACACAGTGAGCACTCAATAATTTATAGCATCATTATCCTGATTATATCTGGCACACGGTAAGTGCTCAATAAATTACAGTATCATTTTCATTATTATTAGATCTCATAACTTGCCTCTTTCCAACTATTTCAACTTATAAATCTCAAAGATGTTCTTACTTATGTCAAAGACTATTTACTCAATACTGTAATTAAAATGAAATAATTATAAGAATGTTTTGAGAGAAAAGATTAATAACACTTCTTTACCTCTTCATATCTGTCAAAAACGGCTCCTTCTTGCAAAAAGGAAGGAACTTCCTTCTGCCAGTTAAATTCATAAGGTTTGGCCATGATTACACTCAAGACCTAAAAATGAAAAAGAACATCTCATTAGTGTGCAAAATTTAAAAACAAGTGAAGATCAAAGGTTAATCACTTTATGCGTTTGTGAAAGCTCTTCTTAATACACATAGAGTAAGCCCATAAATTGTCTCTTTCTTCTTCTTTCCTTCATCTGATTCCAACTTCCCTTCGCCTTGTCTCTAAACCTGGGGAAATACAGTTGGCTCTTGAACAACACAGGTTTGAACTGGATGGGTCCACTTATACAAGATTTTTTTTTTTTTTTAATAAATATAGCAGAGTACTTAAATGCATTTTCTCTTTCTTAGGATTTTCTTAACATTCTCTTTCCTCAAGCTCACTTTATTGTAGAAATACAGTATATACCTACATATAATATACAAAATATGGTTAACCAACTGTTTATGTTATTGGTAAGGCTTCTGGTCAACAGCAGGCTATTCATAGTTAAGTTCTGTCAGAGTAAAAAATTATATGTGAATTTGTGATCATGTGTAAAGTTGGAGCCCCTAACTTCCCTGTTGTTCAAGTGTCAACTGTAATAGCCACAAAGAGGTGATCAACCAGAGGTGATCATTTGGGAACCTTCCCCTCCCTCTCCAAATCATATCAGATAGTAAGGTATGTATTTTAATCTGATGGCATCAGATAAAAGAGAGAAACCACAATCCTGACCCTATTTACAGGAGAGGCCTACTGCTAAGGGTGGGTGGTTCTGCCAGCCTACACTATGAGCCTAAAGATGGATGCATGGTCAGAGAAGTCCACTGGATGATGAGTTGCAGAATCAAACAGGAGTAGCTGAAATATTTTTATTGCTCTTGGTTCTCTCAATAGCCCTCTCACCCCTTCCTCACTTGGGCCACTCAGAGGACTGCAGAAGGTCTGCTTTCTAGCACAGGGCAGCATATATTACACTGAAAGAGAACATGGACATTCTTCAGGGTGGTTGCCTGTACTTTGGAAGAAGCAGGCACTCTTGCTACCCACACTTCTTAGCATAACCCACCATGGTCTACCTCTAGTAACTGCAAGCAGGAAATCTTCAATGAAAAGGTTTAAAATGAATTAAATGAAAAGGAAAATCTTCAATGAAAAGGTAACCAAGAATTACCAAATATTTAAGCAATGCCAAGAACATGGAAGATGGACACCAAACCCAATAAGTAGAACTGACACCCAAGAAAACAGAGTTAACAGGAGCAACTGAACCTGACTTTGGCTTAAGTGTGGCTAGTTAAGTGTGGGGGGAAACAGTGCACTCAGTTCCAAAAATATAATTAACTAGAAATCTAGAAATTTAAAAAAGACTGTTGAAATCAAACTCTTATCAGATGAGCGGAATTATAAAGAGAACTCAGCTGAAATGCTGAGCCAAGGGATTCTCAGAGAATGCAACACAGAAAGAAAGCACAATGGAAAAATTTAGAGAGGTGGAAAATGAAAGCCGAAGATTCAACCACCACCCAACGAAACAGCTTCTTCCATCAGAAGGAGAGAAAACAGAGCCAATGGAAGGACTAATCAAAACAACAGTGGAAGAATATTTCTGAAATTTGAATATTTGCATATTCAGATTTGAGTCCTCAGTGTGAATATCTGAGTCCCTGGTTGAAAAAAAATCCACTAATGCGAGCAGCATAAATGTGGGGAGTGGGTAGATACACACACTTAAAAATACCTTCGGTGTCACTGAAAACAAGAGATAAGAAGAGAAGTTTTGAAATTCCTAAGAGATGCGCAGAGAGAAGACAATTCAGAGGTGAATGACAGGTAGATGGAAATCGGGCATACTGTTCTCAATATTGCAACCTCAAAACTCTGGGGGACAATAATTTTGGACTTGAAATTGTGTCCAATCAACTAATAGTTTAATTTGTAGGAGAAAATAGAGGTATTTATGGACTTACAAGGTACGAAAGATTTAATGACCTACTCTGAAAGATTTAAGGTATTACATGCTCCATCAAGAAGAAAAATAAATGTAGAGATGGGATAGGGGAAGTAATGTGGAGACAGTGAAGACAGAAGAATAAAAAAGGGAAAGTTTACTCTTAAGTTTTACTTACTCTACAAAAAAAAAAAAAGATGAAGAAATTATAATAATTTTGCTCCCAAATTGCTGGTTATATCAATACAGAGGTTGTGGCAGCTCACGTGGTGAAAGGGAAGGAAGTATGGACCTAAGGGAGGTCAACCATTTGGGGAGTGGAATATCAGTATTTAAGACTCTTGACACTGGCAGAAAGATAGAAGTTTAAGAATTTAAGAATTTTCCTAGAGGAAATTAAAAATGGAGAGTAAAGCTTGCACATCATTAGGGAGAGAACAGAACAAAGAATCACGAGTGTCCTTTAAAAAGAAAACAGCTGTGGGGAGGAGGGGGAAAAAGAACACTATACATGGAAAACACAAAAGAAAATGACAACATATCCCAGTTATAACAGATATAAATTGGCTAAATTCACATATAAAAAGAAAAGACAGAGGCTTTGACATTAGGTAACACTGTGATTGTTTATCAGAAGTATTTATAAAATAAAAATGATACAGGAAGTTCAAAAATGAAGGGATGAATAAAACAGTCTAATAAGCATATGCTAGGAGGAAAGAAAGCAGGTGTCCACAGTAATGTAGCAGATAAAACAGACTCAGGGAAAACAGCAAGAGAGAGTGATAAACCATATTAGGAAAAGAGATGATCACAGTGACTTACTAGTCATTAGCATTAAAGCATGTGAGTACATAACATCAGAACATATACTGAAAAACTGGTCAAATACAAAGAAATTTGACAAAGTCATAAACATATTAGGAGACAATGAATGAGTTTCAGAAATTAATGGAATGAGACAAAAATGTAAGAATATTGAAGATCAGAATACCGCACTTACTAGTTTAACCAAAACAATTTAGTTGACTTAATTTAAATATAATACTGAATTTAAACATGGCCCTGCCTTTCTTTACATACATATACACATATACAAACATAGAATATTGACTCTTGAATAGATAATATATTATTATTGTATATTTTTTTCACTCCCTCTTTGTATTCAAGCTACCCCCCACACATATAATAATCTCAGAGTCAGTTCATAATTGGGCCATAGAGGAAACCTCTGTCTTTTCAAAAGTCAGAGTTTAAGGTGGCCATGCTCATTGGCCAAAATTAGGCCAAATTACAAATTGATGAGAAAGTGAATAAAATCTATATGCATATAAATTAAACATAAACATACACAGACTTCTAAATAATTCTTCAGTAAAACAGAATAGTCAAAGCAAAAATTATAAACTTCTTAGAAATGAAAGGTGAGAGCATTATGTATCAAAATCAAAAGGTAAGTAATATAGAGCCAAAAGTTGTTTTAAGATGATCAGTAAAAGTTAACTGCTTTCTGAATATTCACATATTAGATAAACATTTGTCGAGTGTTGGGGAGAGAGAAAGATTGAGAAGGAAGAGGATGAGGAAGACGTATAAATTCACAACATGCGTGATGACAAGGGGGTGTAATTACAAAGAGAAGAAAAACACATGACAGAATAGTACGTGTAACTTTAACCAAAATATCTGAACACCTAAATAAAGTGGATGGGTTTTTCAAAGTTAAAATAAATTTAACTCAAAAAAGGAGAATACATAAACTGAACTTTGGAAGAAATTGAAAAAATAATAAAAGATTAGACCCGCATGGGTCTATTGGTGAGTTCTACAAATGTTCAAGGAAAAAGCAAATCCTACTTACCTAACATTTTTCCAGGACACAGGAAAAAGTAAGTTACTCCCTGACTCATTCCACAAGTCCCATGATCAGGTCCTGACAAGGACACCATAAGGTAGGTCAACAAAACACCAACCGACCCTAGAGTTCAATCCTCACAAAGCAAAAATTCTAGCTGAAAGATGAAAAAAATCTATCCCGGAAAGTGGCTAAAGGAAGAATTCTGGATGGTTCATCACTGAAAGCAGATCCTTGTGATTCACTACCTAAAGGGATTAAGGAGAAAAGTCTAGTACACACATATCCCGGCATATCATACAATAGGAACTCAACCTGAATGTCAAAGGTCTCTAACACATACCATTAAATAAAACCTGGAAGCCACAGAATGATATGCTCTATGAACGGTGTGATACCATTTACCTAAATACACAGCTACAGAATAAGACCAGTGTAATACCTAATACCACTGATGCAAATACACAGACATGAGACAAACCTATGTACTTCTCTAGGCACATTTATGTGTATATAGATAAATTATTAAAACATTTGGAAATTTGTGGGTTACCTGGGTGGCTCAGTTGGTTAAGCATTGGAAATCATGATTTTGGCTCAGGTCATGATTTCAGGGTCAGGAGATGGAGCCCCATGTTGGGCTCTGTGCTGCTCTGTGGGCTCTGTGCATGGAGCCTGCTTGGGATTCTCGCTCTCCCTCAGCCCCTCCTCCACTCACACAATCATACTCATTCTCTCACCCCTCCACCCCCAAAAAGGAAATTCATCTACCCCTGGGAAGGAAATAAAAATTGGAGCTGAAAATCAAGGTATTTTTAGTGCTATCTTTGCAATGCACGTTTTTATTATAAGAATATATTCTCACACTTATGTGCTGCTTGTGTAAATAGAAAAGAATGCAAATTTCAAAGAGGAACAAAAAAGCTGAAATCCTACAGATAGGCAGATGTGTGATTCTTTAGTCCCAAACAATTTAGAAAAAAAAATTTTTAAGAGTTTATTTATTTGACAGAGAGAGATCACAAGTAGGCACAGAGAGACGGGGAAGCAGCTCCCTGCTGAGCAGAGAGCCCGATGCGGGGCTCAATCCCAGGACCCTGGGGCCATGACCTGAGCAGAAGGCAGAGGCTTAACCCACTGAGCCACCCAGGCACCCCAGTCCTAAACAATTTAAAACAGCAGCAGAAGCAAGTCGTAAGTCATGGCTCTTTGAAGGAGGAATGACTCCATTACTCACTA